TTGCTACCACATTCCCCTCCAATCATCCCTATCCATCTAGCTAACCCCCACCCTCCACTGGGATACATTTTAGAGGTGCTTGCTTGTGGCGTTTATGTTTTGTGTTATTGCGTGCGGTTGCGTTGCCTTATTTCTCTATTAATAAAAGTTTGTTTTCTATTTTCACTGTTTTCCTACTAGTTCAAATATAATTTGGTATCAGAGCTAGGCCAACCCTAATCTCATCCTAGGGTTTCTTAGCATCCGCGCCTACCCCAGCTACCTCCACCAAAATTTTTCCTTTCTGATTCCTAAACCTTCAACAAGAATTTGACATAACCCTAATTAACTCCTTGTTGATTTTGAAAATCAGCAACAACAAATCAAATTTTCTACACCATTAAAGAGTCTCCTACACCCTCTTTTACCTCCCAACCCTGAACCCTAGCCATGCCACCAGCAAGATACATGCACGAGCTTTCTCGGGAGGAGAAACAACGAGAGCTTCGTCGCCTTCAACAGAGACTTGCGGAGGTTGAAGAGTTAACTCAGGAGGAGCTTGCCTTCGACCCAAATATGGAGAGTCGAATGGGAGAAAGAAATCACAATTTGAATCCCTTCCATGAGGAGACTTTCAGCAAATGAAGAAGATAGGCCACAACATTTCGGGATCCAGTGTCAGAGAAGTCCTAAAGAGGGATATCTGAAACCCTCCCAGAGGGGGAATTCCCAAGAGGAGACACCAGTGGGAGAACACAAACCATTATAGAATCAAGGTTGATTTATTTGAGTTTGAAGGAGACATGGATCCAAGTGAATTCCTTGAGTGGCTGCAAACTGTTGAACGAATCTTCGAGTATAAGGAGGTGCCAGAGGATAGATAGATCAAGCTAGCCGCCACTAAACTAAATAAGAGCGCTTTCCTATGGTGGGAAAATGTGCAGAGGCAGAGGAAAAGAGAAGCCAGTGAGAAGATCACTAAGTGGGAGAGGATGAAGAAGACAATGCAGAAAAAGTAACTCTCACCCACGATCGTCGGGATATGTTTCTGAAACTCCACAACATGCAGCAGAAGGGTCTTTCAATGAAGGAATTTACGGCCTAGTTCGACCGCTTACAACTAAAGTGCGAACTAATAGAGCCAAAAGTGCATACAGTAGCCTGATATCTTAGAGGATTGAAGCCTGCCATTAGCAATGTGGTGCAGCTGCAACCGTAATAGATGTTGGGAGATGTACAAACACTGGCTTTGAAGGTAAAGAGACAACAAAAAGTAGAGTAAACAACAACCATCCTTTAGGTAACAACCTTCAGGCAAGCAACCATCTACAGTTACCACGACTGACAAGCCCGAACATGGGAAGGACAATCTGAATTAGAGTAAGAAAAAGCAACAGAAAGGCATCCCCTCCAACATTGTACCAACCAAGAAATGTTTCAAATACCACGGTTATAGCCACATAGCCTCCAGCTGTCCCATGAGCAAAGTAGTCTCACTTACTAAACAGGGCACCGTGGAAAAGATTAGCGAAGAGAAAGCTGAGAAACAGGCTTAGGTGTATCAACTTCCCATAGATAAAAGAGAGGCGCTCGTGATTCGACGAATTCTGCAGACCGAGGACACTAGAGATTCGCAGTGGCTTCGCCGCAATGTATTCTACACCGCTGTACAGTGAACAAAAATGTATGCAGTCTCATCATTGACGGCGGAAGCAACAAGAACGTGGCATCGACATAGATGACAGAAATTAGGACTCACAACTCAAATGCATTCTCATCCATATTCATTGACGTGACTAAAAAAGGAGAATCGGGCCAACATCAATCGAAGATGCTTAGTAGAATTTTCTATTTCGGGTTAGCTACAAGACCATGCGTGGTGTGACGTGGTTCCCATGGATGCCTGCCAACTTTTTTTGGGACGACCGTGGCAGTTTGACAGGACTTAGCATGATGGATTTAGAAACACGTATTCTTTCACTAAGGACATGAAGCGCATCACCCTACTTCGACAGAGTCTGAGGTCACAGGATCCCTTATCATTAGAGCAGTGTCAGTGGAACCAAATTTATTGGTGACACAGAATGAGTGGACAGAGATACCGACTATCAACACCAGACAAATACGATAGAAAAGACTTCAAGACCTCACAGTCAACATTGTATTGCGAGCTCCACCAGGCCGAAGGGTTCAAACCTCTCTCACAACACACCAGACTGATCGCCTGTGAGCTACTTTGGGAAAATTCAACAATACATGCGGGGCACACAATCCCATAAAATGGGATCGAAGACCCTCAGGTATCTCAGGAGACAATGCAGTCGCCAGTGGGATCCATGGGTGGTTGACGACGAAATGGGAGCGTCGACTCCTCCAACCCCAGAAGACTGACGCGAACGTTGAAGGAACACGGGGACCTAACCTCCATGAATTATCGTAAAGGACTGAACCCCCACTAACTCTCACGTAACCAGGAGGTGGGATGTCAAACTATTGCGATTCGGGAGGAAACATCGCGAGACTGCCACGTCCGTCTTCAAATAA